CTTGCTTCGTTGGTTCGTTGCTGGCCAGCCAGCCAGCCAGCCAGCCAGCCAGCCAGCCAGCCAGCCAGCCAGCCAGCCAGCCAGCCAGCCAGCCAGCCAGCCAGCCAGCCAGCCAGCCAGCCAGCCAGCCAGCCAGCCAGCCAGCCAGCCAGCCAGCCAGCCAGCCAGCCAGCCAGCCAGCCAGCCAGCCAGCCAGCCAGCCAGCCAGCCAGCCAGCCAGCCAGCCAGCCAGCCAGCCAGCCAGCCAGCCAGCCAGCCAGCCAGCCAGCCAGCCAGCCAGCCAGCCAGCCAGCCAGCCAGCCAGCCAGCCAGCTGGCCAGTATATTCCTCATTCGCTAACACTCGTCAATATGACACATTGCCAACCTCCAGGGTAATGATGTTTCTATCAAGGATTCAAAACTGCGTCAACCAGTGGTAAAATGAAACATCTCAGTACTGAGTCATTCATTTACTACTTGTCAATTCACGTTTTAATTCGACTATCATCCAGTACCAGTGTTAAGTGTGTTTCCTCACATCCAACTTGTCTTATCACTGAATGCATGTTGACCATTTGATTCTGACCTAGTGGCTAAATGGCTAATGTACGCACCACAACATCTAAATGTCTTGAATTCAATCCTTGGTCGTGTCATGGGTGAACGCTGCTGAGGAGCTCCATACTAGGATAAAGGTGTCCAGTGTTCCTAGATTTTCAAAACAATGTCCACATTTTTGTGTAATATGAGATGATACTTAAGTTACTGTTATCAGAGTATGCTGAATTGATTTTTCACTGTTTCATGATGCATCACGGGTTTCTCAACTATCTCTACCTTACAAGAATGTTCAAACTATACCCGTTGCACGAGGAGAGGTTACAATAACTTTCTGGCCCAGTGAAGTGATTCTTCTTCTTAGACAATTGGTTCTTAGTTAGAGTCTTAGCGAGAATGACATTAATCATAGTCAGGAGTCAGGTATATTCAGCTGAAGAGTCTCGAACAGAATGAAACGCATACCCTATATTCCATTGCTATCCATTATCTATCATTATCATTACTGTGTTAATTAAAACCTAAAACAGTCAGAACTAAAGCAGAGAATACTGAGTCAGTTAAACAGATTTTTTAAAAGGTAAACTGGACCTCACTGATACTAAATGATGAAAAGAATGTACAAGTATATCAATTATCTTAAAGATTTTTATTTCATTGCCACACTTACGTGGAAGTTGTTCAATAATAAATAAACTAAATTAAGAGTGAACATAGTTTCACTAACATAAGCTGTCTCAGATTATTTTTTCTAATTTACAAAATAATCTGCGAATTAACTTCTGATTTGTATACATATGTAACCTGTCTGAAATATCTTCAGAGATAAAAATAAGACAGTTCGTAAACATTTTAAATATTTCTGATGGAACTTTTGTTATATCCTTGAAAAGAGTACAATTTACTTCACCTTGTCTACTTTTATATTTATGAGAATGAATGGAGTTAACAAGAAATAGTTTGATAAAACCTCAAGGGAATTTTGGAGATGGGAGGATTATAAAAGACTGGTAGATTATAAAGACAGGCTTTTTCTTAGTCTGTGGAATAATTCTGTTGTAAACTGATTAGTTAACTGGAGAAAAGTAAAATAAGAATAAAGAAGAGGCATTTACGTTGGTTCTTTTTCTCTTGTCCAAACAAAAAAAAACAAATTTTTATAGTCTTTCTAATGGCTATTGATTTAGAATTTATGTAGCAATGTAAAGATGTTTTCAACACCAACGTCAAGTCACTACTCCTATATGGTTCAGAAACTTGGTGCGTTACGAAAATCACTTCCAACAAACTACAGATATTCATCAACAACTGTTTACAATGGCTCGTTACTGAAGCTCAGATGAGATGGCCAGAATAATAAGAATAAGCAAGAAGGAACTCTGGCAAGAACCTATCGCCTAACAAATATGCAGAAGGAAGTGGAGATAGATTAGGCAAACACTGAGAAGGCCGACTGGAGATATCACACGCCGGGTCCTCGAGTGGAACCCAGATGGGGAACGATGAGTTGGTCGTCCGAGGTGAGGGTGAAATGGAGGAGATCATGTGAGGAAGAAATGAGACGTTATGGGCTGTCATGGAGTCAGGTTCAAAAGATTGCATAACAGAGACGCGCTAGTGAAGCCGTATATTCCACTAGGAACCCAAGGGAAAAATAATAATAATAATAATAATGTAAAGATTTGATGGGAACAATATACATAAAGGTTTCCGTAGTGAGGAAGAATTCTTGAACCAGTGATAAAGTTAGTTATTTCTAGGGAAGTTAGAAATCAAGAAGACATAAAGCATAGGCATATTTCATGTAGGGAACATAATTAATCCAAGTGTCTGCAGAATAGATCGTGCTAAAAAACTGTGCTGTAAGTGTAGAGAAGTGTCGAATTCGATAACTTTTCAATGAAGTAAAATTGAATGAAGATTTATGTTAAACTAATAGGTTTCTGTATCATAATTCTATATAAGATGAATCAATATTGAGACCAGGGAGTAAAAGGTAATTCTTTCGCTTTATTTCATTGACCTTAAAGGAACCAAGATTGTCTTTTCTGTAAGTGGAGCAGTGGATAAGTATTCACCCTAGTATGAGACTCCTCAAGAGGGTGCACCCACGATCCAGCGAGGGATCGTACTCAGGACTTTTAGGTTCCGTGGTCAGCACGTCACCACTGAACCACTGGATGGGAATCCAATGGTGCATGTTTCTTACATCTGTCGGTTCACTCTAAAGTGCTACCTTCATCCACCCAAATTGCACGTGAGAACGGATCGCGCTATATCACCAATTCCGATCCAGTGGTCACGGAATCTGAAGGTCCTGAGTTCGATCTCTGAGGGGTCCAGGTCATAGGTGCTCACTGCTGAGGAGTCCCATACTGAGGTGAAATATCTATTCAGCGCACCCAGGTTTCTAATATTTCGACAACAGATGTCATTTCATGATGAATACCAACCTGAAATCAATGAAATCCCTACTAGCCTTCAAACTGAAGGAATAATTATGGTAAGGAAGTATTGTGAAAAGTATGTTCTAATGCAACATTATGTTGCTGTACACGCTCCCCATATAATTGAGACGATAGTTTATGATAAAAGGAAGTAAAGTTTAGTGTTGAACGTCTAGAGACAGTTGAAAGAGAGGTGTATTTTACGCAGATTTTAAAATTATTAAAAATCTTCTGCAAGACAAATCTTCAATCTTGAAGACACTCACAATTTGTTGAGATTCAGTCATGCATCACATAGGAATATTGTCCGAAACTTCATCCCCAAAACTGTTCAGAACAAATATGATGTTTCCATTGTCCTTTTCTATCGCAGAAGGTCTGGAAGAAAGGGAAGTTACCTGCCCATTGATCGCAAGAAGGGTTACCTTATCAAACTCCTGAAGAAGGGTGACCTAAGTCTTTGCAAGAACTACAGACGAATCACGCTCCTGTCCACCTCAAGCATAATATTAGGCCGCATCATCCTGGGGAGACTAAACGATGCACTGGATTCAAAACTACGACCCGAACAGGCTGAATGGCAGGCTTCAGGAAGTACAAATCATGTGCAGACCAAATTGCAACGCCACACCACGCATCATCATAGAACGGAGTAAAGAATGGCAGTCAACCCTCTACCTCAACTTCATCAACTTTGAGAAGGCCTTTGACAGCGTCGACTGACAAGTAATTTGGCAGGTAGTTGCTTCAACACTACGGAATACCACAAACCTTTATCAATCTCATTCAACAATTATATGAAGATGCCATATGCCAAGTAATTCACAATGGGAAGCTCAGGTCAGTGATGCCTTCGAAGTGAAGTGAAGACAGGAGTAAAACAAGGCTACCTCCTGATATCACCGATGATCTTCCTGATTGTGGTGACTGGATCATGTAACAAACCATGAGAGCGAAAATAGAGGGATATGCTTGACCGCGGAAAAGAATCTAGAAGACTTGGATTTCACCCATGATGATTTATGTCTAATGTCCTGAAGCACAAACTTGAAGATCTACAGGCAAAAACTAACAGGTTAACAGTAGACGTACGGCAGCGAAGACGGGACTTCAAATGAACGTAGAGAAGACGGAGTTGATGAAGATACCCGACCAACAACAAAAACAACAACGAGAAGAAGCTCCAATCACCATCAATGGACGAAACTTAAAGGAAGTATCCTCTTTCATCTACCTGACTAGGCAGCATCGTTTCAACTGCAGGCGACACAGGCGCAGACGAGGACGTCAAAGTAGCCAGGATTGGAAAAGCAAGATAGGCGTTCATTAACCTGAAATCAGTGTGGAGATCTTCTGCACTCGGCATAAAGCCTGAACAACATCCGGGTTTTCAACACTAATATTCAGTCAAGTCAGTGCTTCTATGTGATGGTTGAGAAACTTGGCGCGTTACGAAAAGCATTTCTAACAAACTACAGACATTCATCAACAACTGTCTACTATGGCTCGTTACTGAAGCTCAGATGAAATGGCCAGAATAATAAGAATAAGCTAAAAGGAACTCTGGAAATGAACTAACCAAGAACCTATCGCCTAACAAATATGCAGAGGAAGGAAGTGGAGATGGACTGAGCATACAATGAGAAGACCATTCGAGGACATCACGTGCCAGGCTAGGCCATGCCATCGAATGGAACCCTGATGGGAAGCGACGAGTTGGTTGTCCGAAGTGAGGGTGACATGGAAGAGATTGTGTGAGGAAGAAATGAGAGGCTGTGGGCTGTCATGGAGTCAGGTTCAAAAGATTGTAGAGAAGAGAGTGGAATGGAGACGTGCTACTATAGCCGTCTATTCCACCAAGAATTCAAGGAACAAATCATAATAATAATTGTCCTCTTCAATATTTCATATTTTATTTTCGTAAACGAATCACATTACATCAAGTCACATAAAATGTAAAAGAATACACATTTTGAATATCAAAGTATACAAAGTATGTATAGTGATAGCTTACCTTATTAAATGTTCTCCAATTTCTGTACTTTGCAGGTATTTTAACTGAACAAAAACGATCCAATGTGATTAAAAATACAGTATACTGACTTGTAAGACATGCAGAAAAGTCTAATGATAACCATAAATCACATATTAAATATCCCAATGGCCAATAACCCAATAATTGATAAGTAATAAAAAGATTCATTGAAAATAATCCAATTAATACATCTGTCATTGCTAATGATGCAATAAAATAATTACTTGGTACACGTAATGAACGTTCAACAAAAAATGCAATCAATACAACAATATTACCACCAAGAGTTGCAGTTGAAACTGTAGTCGCTGAGATAGCTATTAAACTTGTTGTCACCGGAGGAAATATACTGGCAAAGGTGTTATTCATTAGCTGTTTTAAAATAAATTATTTGTAATTATGTATGTTTATGTATGAGTGTATATATGTATGTTTACCATTGACAATTTCTATGAATAATTATTTAAGTCTCATAAGTATGACTTATCATTTTCGTAAGTATCTGAAAGAAACAAAGAAAAAGTAGGTTCTGAATTATATTTTCTGAAAATTAATATTATTATTATTATTAGTCGCTTGGGTTCCTAGTGGAATATAGGGCTTCAGTAGCACGCCTCCATTCCACTCTCTTCTATGCAAACTTTTGAACCCTGGTTCCACGACAGCCCACATCCTCTCACTTCTTCCTCACACAATCTCCTCCATGTCACCCACACCACGGACACCCAACTCGTCGCTTCCCATGGGGATTCCACTCGAGGGCCTGACGCGTCGGCCTTCTCAGTGCATGCCCAATCCATCTCCACTTCTTCCTGCATAGTTGTTGCGTGATAGGTTCTTGGTTGGTTCGTTCCCAGAGTTCCTTGTTGCTTATTTTTTCTGGCCATCTCATCTTCAGCAGCGAGCGTAAGCAGTTGTTGATGAATGTCTGTAGTTTATTGGAAATACCTTTCGTAACCCGCCAAGTCTCTGAGCCATACAGAAGCACTGACTTGATTGGGTTGGTGTTGAAAATCCGTATCTTGTTCCAGATGCTGAGTGCAGAAGATCTCCACACTGGTTTCAGGCTAATGAACGCCTGTCTTGCTTTTCCGATTCTGACTTTGACGTCCTCGTCCGTCCCGCCTGTAGTTGAAACAGTGCTTCCTAGATAAGTGAAGGAGGTTACTTCCTTCAAGTTTCTCCCGTTGACGGTGATTAGAGTTTGTTGTTGGAAATTAATATAAGTATCTATTATTCAAGACAGTATTCAAGTTCTACTAGACTAATCTATATTAATTGCGGCACAGACGAGGACGTCAAAGCCAAGATTGGAAAAACAAGAAAGGCGTTCATCAACCTGAAACCAGTGTGAAGATCTACTGCACTCAGCACAAAAAACAAGATCCGGATTTTAAACATTAATATCAGTCAAATCAGTGCTTCTATATGGTTCAGAAACGTGCCATGTCTCGAAAAGCATTTCCAACAAACTACAGACATTCATCAACAACTGCCTACGCTAGCTCGTTACTGAAGCTCAGATGAGATGGCCAGAATAATCAGAATAAGCAAGAAGGAACCGTGGCTGGCTGGCTGGCTGGCAACGAACCAACGAAGCAAGAACCTATCGCCCACCAAATATGCAGAGGAAGGAAGTGGAGATGGATTGGATTGGGCATACACTGAGAAGACCATTCGAGGATATCATGCGCCAGGCTAGGCCATGCCATCGAGTGGAACCCAGATAGGAAACGACGAGTTGGTCATCCGAAGTGAGGGTGACATGGAAGAGATTGTGTGAGGAAGAAATGAGAGCTTCTGGGCGGACTTGGAACCAGGTTCAAAAGATTGTAGAGAAGAGAGTGGAATGGAGATGCGCTGCTGAAGCCCTATGTCCCACTGGGTACCCAAGGGACATGTAATATTAATATTAATAATCTATATTGATCAGTTACTAATCAGGTAACCTGAAACTTTACACACTGACCGCCCCTTTACGACGTTGAATAAAGAAAGAACAATGAATGAAGCTGAATAACATGAAATCATTTCATTTCATCAGTTTCTCATCAGCTGCTTACGATTTAAAATATTTAAATATGATGTCATAAATGAATTTAGGTTGAAAAGAAACATTTCTTTTTAACTGATACATGTTTTCTCTTTATTCATGAATAAATGGGTATATTTCGTCAGTTGAAAGAATGCAAGTACCCAATGAAAGTGAAGGGGTTCAGTGGGTTTCCTTGTTATTCTACCAAACATGCGGAAGTGAATACGAATATCGATATACTAAACAGTTGTATTGTGAAACATGAATACCCAAAATATTTCTGGAAAGCTTTGCATCATAATCGTATTTATCTTAATGGTTGTAAGTTGTATAGACATTGCTGTAAATCTAATTGATGGCATCCGTGTAAGCCATCCTGAACTGGAAAGAAATATTTCTCAGCGAGAGCTAACAAGTGAAGAACGAGATTCATTTGAATTTTGTATACATCAGAGGTGATAAAGAAAAGATGTGAAAATGTAAAAATCAAATTATTGAGTCACACGACAATTTCTCAGATGCACCAGACAGATACTTGTTTAACCACTCCAGTTAAACCCTGTTAAACATTTAGATACAGATTATGTCCTTGGGATCAAAGTTTTGTTGTGCCTCATCTAAACCTAGTGAATTTGATGCCCAATTGCAGTTTGAAAATCTTATCAGCCAGACTCGAGACTTGAACCCGAAGTCCATTGAAAGCTTCGAACGTTTCAAATCCACACTATTAATTTGTTACTATCAATATATGAAAACACCATGTCGATAATGAGGTATGGTATCCAAAGAGCACAAAAAGCACAATTGAAAGAACTACTAAACAACAAGGATATTATACTTGTACGCCCAGACAAAGGATCCGATATGGCGATTTTGGATTGACTAGATTATATCAATAAACTACGCCTAATTCTCACTGATGATAGCAAATTTCTGAAATCCAGAGATAATCAGGATAGAATAGAAGGTATTGGGGATCAAATATCGAAAACCTTAAGAAAATTGAAAGAAGAATCTTTAATTACCCCAGATATGTATGAGCAGCTTAGACCATTTGGTTCAAACATGCCCCGTTTATATGGTCTGCTGAAGGTGCATTAGGATGGTCTTCCTCTTCTGCCAGTATTATTATTATTATTATTAGTCCCTTGGGTTCCTAATGGAACATAGGGTTTTACTAGCACGTCTCCAGTGAACTCTGTTCTCTGAACTCTTTTGAACCTGGCTCCACGACAGCCCAGAAGCTCTCATTTCCTCCTCGCACGATCTCCTCCATGTCACCCTCAACCCGGACGTCCAACCCGTCGCTTTCCATCGGGATTCCACTTGACGGCCTGGCCTGACGGGTGATGTCCCAGTCGACCTTCTCAGTGTATGCCCAATCCATCTCCACTTCCTTCTGCATATTTGTTGAGTGAAAGGTTCTTGGTTGGTTCGTTCCCAGAGCTCCTTGTTGCTTATTCTCATTATTCTGGCCATCTGATCTTCAGTAGCGAGCGTAAGCGTAAGTGCCATTGGACAGTATTGGATATGATTAATTCACCTTATCACTCGTTGGCGAAGTGGTTTTTTAAATGCTTGAACTGGCGAGGTGAAATCTACGCAAATATAGTCTTCCCGATACGTTTAGCTTTTCTCGCTGCATCGGAGATAACAACGTAACGGGTAAGCGTATGATATCGCTTGATGTTTGTTCTTCATTTACCAATGTTCCAATTATTGAAACCATTTGTTATCTATGGGATTACATTGATTCTAATGATACTAACACTGGATTACCTATGAGCCACTTTAAAGGACTAATATTAGGATGTACGTTTAATGTACAGTTAAGATTCGATGAAATAATTTATAATCAGACAAACCGAGTGCCAATGGGGTCTTCATGAAGCCCTGACCTGGCCGATATCTTCATGGCAAAGCTCGTAAATGGGCCCCTTAAAGGAATAATTTCGGGACTTTATTTGTATAAAAGGTTGATCGTCGACAGTGTTCTTATTTGTGACGAAACATGTTCAGTGGACGAGCTACCAAGATGTTTCAATGATTGCCACCCGTCCATTAAATTCACTGTAGACGAAGAGTTGAACTCAACGTTCCACTTTCTAGATGTAGTGTTAAAGAGAAGGGACGATGACTCGATTCAAAGGTTAGTCTGTCGAAAACCAACTTGGACCGGTCAGTTCACTAACCTTAATAGTTGGATACCTCTTGGTTGTAAGAGAAATCCCATTCACTCACTGTGTTCCAGAATCTACAGAATATGTTGAGACCATAGGGTGAATGTTGAAATTGAAACTCTTAGAATAACACTATCTAATGGATAAGAATCTGAAGAAACGAACCACTCTTCATCCCATTACAATCCCTAAGAAAATTCTAATCATGAATCTGGAATTCGAAGGAGACAGCACAGCCGAAATACTGAAGAATCGTCTGTCAAGATGTATTAATAGTAGTTCCTATGCTGCTAGACTGAGATTGATATTCTCCAGCCTCCATCTGATTCGTCAATGCGTGAAGGATACGCTTCCACTTATATCCACACCTATTTGTATCTACAAGTTTACATGCTCCTGTGGAGCTGACTATATTGGACGTTGTAAGCAGGCCCTCCGAAGACGTGTTGTTGAATGTTACCCGGTTTGGGTTACCAGAGGCGATGAAAGGAAAACGACTTCATCCATATGTGAACACCTTGTTGAATTGGGTCACTCAGAACCTTGAGATTCATCCTTCAAAATCATTTACAAAGTTAAATTGAACTACTCCAAAAGTGGTTTACGTTTCCACCACTTATGCATAGCTGAAGCATTAGCTATACATGAACAAAAACCGAAACTTTGCATTCAAAAACATTTTGTGAAACCACTTTCTCCACCTTGGACTTAACAATTCCTTGTTGGTGACTATTGTCAATTTCAGATCACCTCACTTTGGTATACTTCTCTTCTGTTATCATCATCATCATCATCATTATCACCAATGTTCACTTCATTGACAATATTTGACCCACATTTAATTTTTCATATCAATTCATTCCTTTATTCATTGACCTATTTTGCATGTTTCAGCTAGATTATCACCGTCTTACAATTGTTTGGCAGTAAGTGTCTCTAAAACCTCGCCTGGTTAACTAGTTTACTAGTTACTAGCCGGTCCTAAGCCCGGGTAAAGAGGGAAGGTTGGGCATAGGGCTAGCAACCCTACCCCGTAAAACAAATCTAACCGCTAAAGAAACTTCAAAGCACAAACAAAATATAAAAAATGAAAACAAACTTATTCCTCGCTGGAATCGGAGAGGCGAAATGACGCCAGTTGGTGAAAGCCTTCGGGAAGCCAATTGGCCGATGTGTCTTCTCTCGATGAAAGCGAAAGTAAACGTGGGGACATGGAATGTCCGCACGATGTTTGAACCCAGTAAGGCAGCCCAGATTGCAAAGGAGATGAGAAGGTATAACATCGAA